AGAGGGTCATAGCATTTTCCACTTTTCTGAGGACCAACATTATAGGAGAAAGAGGAATTCATGGTTGCCCATGAACTGCCACATGGCTGCTTCTCCTTCTTGGTACACCCTTTGAATTGGGTTTGACTTTGTCATTGATTTTCATCTCAACGATCATGATTGCAAATTCAAACAGTAATCTAAATGAAAGTTGACTTACGTTCCAATAGATCTGGCCTCACTCTGTCAAACATAAGTACGTGTTGACCAAATTGATTAAATAAAAGAAACATGAAGAGCACTAAACATTTGTAGTGCTGCCCCTGTAGATTTGTGGCTTGGCAAGTGAAATACAATAATTTAAAACATGGCATTGCAGATTTACAATGCAGGGCTGATTAAATTACTCATATGTCATGGAAACATATTATATGGAAAGTTAGAAGCAAGCCGAAGTGAATATGCTGCAACTACATGCCTACAAGTGCACATGGTGATGAAAGCAGAATCAGATAAGAGCCAATTTATATATATGATCATAAAAAATGATATTACAAAAAAAGGAATGTGTTCATCAGCTAATGATCAAAATTTTCTTGCTCATTTACAGAAGCTTGTACTCACATATACACTACAATGGTACGTTTCACGAATCATCTCCCGGGTCATGATTTCTAGACAATATGATGATGTCACTTAGCCCCGTGCTATATAATGTTGAGATAGATAGATCATGACATTATATCTTCTTGTTTTAGTTGTTGCTGCTTAATTTTCTCCTGTTTCCATAATTCCAATTGAATAATACTACACTTCAAACTCCTCTCCTGACTCTGTCCGCACAAAATAAAAAGAAATAGGTCACTTCTGAGAAGTTTTGAGCCACTTGTATATGACATTAAGCATTAGTAGATCGAATTTTAAACATGTATCGTTCTTGATTTGGAAAAGAATAGTGTTCTTTTATTACCTCAAGTGTCGATATGGTCTTGGAAAGCACAAGACACTCCTCTAAAAGCAATTTTTCTTGTGCAACCACCTTTGCTAATTCAGACAGTAAAGGAACAGTCTGCTCAGCCTGTTCAAGAATCGGGTTCAATGTGAGTCCGCATTGCACAAATTTCAGGTTACAAGGTAGTAGTATATAAGCTTACAAACCACTGAAGTAAAGACCTCTTGTGTATGATGGGACCTAAGCCTTTATTAAGGATCTCAAAATGCTTTATTCTAAACAGATTTCCTCTTAGCTTAATAGATTTCCTCTTAGTAGGAAGAACAACTGTAAGTAGAAGTTCCTATTAAATAGGACTTCCTTTAAGTCTTATTTGGGAGTATGGTAGTGTTGGGGAGTATAGTACCAGAGGTGAGAAAGTAGCTAGCAACAACTTCATGGAAGCTGTGAGATCGGAAGCATGTCGAAGAGCAACAGCAGCCAATTGAGTATCCACCTGCAGAATGCTTGGCTTTGTTAGAAAAACAAATCTCTTTCGCCGAAACCAAAACCTTACAATCAGTTTCCTTTGGCCTACCTCTGCACCCTCAATAAGGGGTACTCTGCAGACAACAGAATGTAAGCACTCTTTCATCATGGAAAATGCTGCCATGTGTTGCCATTCCATATCTCCCCAAGACTCCAATGGCTTAAGCTACACAAATTACAAACACATCAGTCACATTTTAACACAGTCTGTTTGAATCAATCCGAACATCTGCACACCATCAATCTTGTAACAAAATATTTATTGATTGTTGTTTGCTACTGACTTGAGATCGGAGTATAGAATTCAGCTTCAGGTCAAGCTTTTCTTTCTCTAGCTTCAATTTCTTCTGTAGCACGGAATGTCGCAACTTTATAAGATTATCCCAAGCATATATAACATTGGACTGCAAAAATCATTGAAAAACAAACAGTTCCCAGTTATGAACTGAACTTGGTAACCTCATAATCTCATGAGAATAAAATAAAAAAATTTTGTTCCCACAAAGTAGAACTAGAATCAGAGATAACCTGTGCTTGATTAGCTATCTTCTCATCCACAACATAAGCTCTAGCATTGGCATATCGCCACTGCATCAATCTGTTATGAAGCAACCGAAGTTGATGACCCATCTCCGTCATACTTGACGCCGAAGAAACCGAATTAGACCTTACCAGCACTGAGCTAGACGAAGAAGATTTCTTACTCTTGAACAAGTCCAACCCCAAGTTGAGTAACTTCTCCACCCCCTTGGTTTTTGAGGGACTAGTAGGAGGCTTCAAGCTCGAAAACGACATCGGTACGCCCATGTTCTCGACAGACATCGTCGGCGACCCTGTTCTTCCCGGCGACAATGCCCATTGTGTCGTCGCCCCCGTCAGCGAATGAGCTCTCCTGAACACATTTTTAATGGTGAATTTGTTCAACTTCGGAGACTTATCTCCTGATATCGGATTTGGGAGAGTAGAATCCGATGTCCCTCTTCGATGCCTTAAAGGTACCTCATTCATGTACTTTGAAGAAACCCCCATGCCCAATTTTCTCGAACTCGAACCCGCATTTGGAGACCCAACAGTCTGGCCTGAACAACCATCGCTGCACTCCGATCCCGAATCAAGAGTATCGGAAAAACCATCCGAAATTCGCCGAGACGATTTCTGATACAGAGCATTTTCGTCCACTGAAAATCTCCTAGGAACAACCACATTCGAATTACTCGAAAACTTACTCGAAGACGAAGAAGAAGGGGAAGTAGATTTTCCCGGAAATTTGAAGTTTCTCGGGTATCTCATCGACCCACCAATGATGGGTTTGTGATTTTCCTTGGCGCTTTCTCTCTCTTTCTCTTTTCCATTCTCGAACAAACCCACTTCTCTGCGGCTTCTCTGCCTATCAAAGTTTGAATTTTTACTCTCGATATGATCTTTGAGCCTGTCCTTTCCAAGGTGATCGGCTAGAGTGTCGAGCTTCTTGTTTGATGATGAAGTTGAAGAGGGCCATAGTCCTCGGATGGGGCCCAAGTCATCGAGCTGGGTTTTGGGTTTTCGGGTTTCGTTGAAAGGCGAACCAGATTTGCGCCGGACTGGCGAGATGGCTTGGTTTGGAGATGGGAGGTTAGTGGTGGTTTCGAGCGAAGTGGCTGAAGTTGGTGATGACATAAACCGCGAGCTTACTTCGCGGGATTTGGGTCTTCTGGGTTTGTGAGATTGCTCTGTGACAACTTGATTGTTGTCATTCTTCTTCATGATTTGTGAGAGAGGGAGGGAGAGGGAGAGAGAAATGTTTGATTACTGGTGCGAAAAGAGTATGTGAGGATTTGAAGAATTGATATCTGCGTTTCTTTGGAAACAGATGGGATGATACAAAAAACAAACCACCACACTTGAAATGGCGGCAAATTAGATCCTACGCCGGCATGTGAGGGGGGGTTTTGTGGGATTTTGGAGGTGAAATCACTATAATGCCCTTGTGTTGACTAACTTAGCAATAAGTGGTATATAGACGAAAATAGTTGTATTAATTGTTTTTCAAAATAATGACTTCTTTTTTTCATAAATACCAATAACATAGCAAGATAGAAGATTCGAACACAAAATATTGGTTGCAGAAGTAACACTGTTACTTCTCTTAACCAATCCTTTAGTAAAATAACGAATCCTGAAATCAATTCCGATGTATATAATCACTGCAAATTTATAAATATAAGCTTAATAAAAATCTTAACGATGTACCATATTTACTAACCGAATACATAGTAGAACTTGTTAATGGTATTAATGCTATATATGTGCTAATCATACAAGTAACTTTGTTTGGAAATGAATGTTAGTTTTCGGTGGTAAAAGACTCAAAAGGGTAGTAGTAGTGATTGGATGGGAGTGAAGCAAGAGACGTTAGGAAGTAGGAGACAAATGGAATAAAGAATCACACTTGGGACTCCGAGACTCAGTACAAAGTAATTCAATTAAGCCGGCAGTTAAGGGTTAACGAAGGATTTGGTTGGATTGGCATCTGCCATTTGTCAAATAAATAATGTGTTTTTGTTGTTAATTTGTGATTAAGCATGAGCGTGCGTGTCTATGCAAGCTTCTTCCAATTTGAAACTTTGAACCCAATCAATCAAAATCCTGTTTTATCTTTTGTTGATTCAACTCAAAATTTGAAGTGGCAAACTAATCTCATATCAAAGAAATAGTCAACTGCCAATTCAATATTTTGAGGAAGGTAAAGGCACAAAGAGAAGAACGTTCTTTTAAATGAATTTATAAATAACCTTTTATTTTTATTATTTTCAAAGAATATTGAGTGTAATAAAAGGGTGTCTTTAAACGATCTCGTCCCTTCTTTTTTCTTGCACAGAATATAAATAATAATAATATAAAGAAACATTGAAGTGATTAGAGAACACAAGAAAAAAAAAATTCTGGTAATATATTTTCATGTAACGAAAGAGTAATGCGTCAGGGAGAATATGGTGATGGTAAAAGTGATTGTGAAACACTGAAGTCAACGTTCACAATCTCTTTTATTTTAAAATAAAAAATTAAGGAAAGGAGCGCCGTTGCCGGGGATCGAACCCGGGTCACCCGCGTGACAGGCGGGAATACTTACCACTATACTACAACGACGTTGTTGTTCATAGCTTTAAGCTTCATCGTATTTAATAAATTCAGAGCAGAAGTAGTACAAGAAGATACAGAGCTATTGTATTCGTTTTAACACTATTTTCTCTATCATTATGTCGATTTAGCTTTACCTTATAACTGTGATTTCTCTCTATCAAATTTCTTTTTCTTTTTCTTTTTCTTTATGGGAATCTATCAGATCAAAAATCGACTTTACATTTTCTTTCTCATTCCTGATTGTTACCGGTTGCATCGTTGCGGTTGAATCTTGAAACAAGCATATGTTGTCAGCAGGTGATGAAAGGAAGTAAGCCAAGCACAAATCTTAAGAGTACATGACAATGGTGAATTTGATTAGATGGAATGTAAGAAACTTTGCCTATCCAATACCAAGCAGTAAAAGGCAATATCCTTCCTATCTACGTATTGCAAAAGAGACCAAATCAAAAGGATACTACAAACTACCAAGGTTGTACAGTTCAACCTATACCACAGATACTGCAATAAAAAAACAGTTATTCAAGAATAGTGGTTAGCATTAACAATTCTGAATGACTTATAATGAAGTAAATCATCTATACTACAACACGATCAAATAAACACTACCCATCTTACAACCAATCCCCATGCTTGATCTTGCAAAATCATCATGCAAGCATTCATGACCTCAAAAAGGCTACATCTCTCCTTTACCCACCAACTCCGCCGTGATAGAGTAGAAACTTCTGTGTCTGAAATCAGTGGAAATTGCATCTTTGTAATAAGGGGTGGCTATAATCAACGTATTTCTCCCAAAGGGGCTTGTACTTTTCCATCCCAATCTTCAACCATGGTTTCGAGTTTCCGTTGTAGTGCAGCACAGCTCCTTTCTCTATCAAATGAGGATCAACATTTGTGTAGCCTAAACCCAGAATATGCCACGAGGGATCCAAAGGCTCTGTCAATCCGTAGAACGTCAACAATCCAGGTGGCAATGTGCCAAGTTTCCACAATGTTCGATCTACATTTCTTTCCTGCCAGTAGTGGTAGATACCAGTGACATTCCTCTTCCTCCACTGAACCAAATCAAAAACATTCATCCCAAACGCCCATCCACATGCATCAGGGTCAAAATGTGCTCTTATGAGAGGGTGAGAGTAATTCAGATATTTATGGTATCTGTGAAATGTCTCCATGCATGTCTCCACTGCTCCGTTAACATTACCATTCAAATCAATAGAGAACAGATCAGACACATCCTTCTGAACCACAACATCATCATCCAAAAACACCACCTTCTTCAGGGCAGGAAAAACTTCTGGAATATAAAACCTCAGATGATTAAGCATAGAAAGATATTTTGGGTTCCGAAACTTGATTGGTGTCCGGCCATCATCATTATTTCCAGAAAAATAATAACTTTGAGTTTCAGAGTCTTGGAGCTGCTTAAGTACGGGAACATAAGAAGCATTTAACCATGTAAAATCCGCAAATTTTTGAACATCAACGACCACTCCTCTGAAGCTGTTTATAGAAAACCAGGCCTTCATTGCAGCATAGTTGATTTCATCAGTTACGAGATGGAAGACAATCTTATCTGGACTTTTGGAATTTATAGAAGTTGAATTGACCACAACTGAAGTTGCTAGGATGTTGTCAGAGAAGACACAGAAATGATAGAGATTGTTATCCTTCAGTTTCATGTCTATTTGCTTTCTGTCCTTGGTTTTCCTCTGTAGATTTGAGTTTCTGAACCATTCACCAGTCAACTGAATACCAAGACAGTAAAGACTTTTTGGGACTTCTTCAGCAGCTATTTGTCCATATTTTGAACTTTTCTCACTCACAGAACTCATCTGTTCTTCCAGAGCTTGGATTTTGGCTTTCAGTCTCATGATCATGGTTGCACTATCATAATGGAGCTGCTGTGCTTGGTACAGTATTAGTGCCATATCGCGAATTGCATTTTCCGATTCTCTAATTGTCAAAGGAATTCGCCTGGTTGCAGCATTTGACAGTAGGATCTGTGAAATGCGAATCTGAGCACTTAATTCCCAAGCAAATTGAAGGTTGTTGCTTTCTTTGGCAATCACAACAAAAGCTTTTGCCAGAGCAATTTGGTCATTGAGTTGCCTGGAAACTGAGTTGGGATTCAACATTTCTTTGGTAATGTTAAGGCCTTCCATAAGTCTATCATTCCTGTATCTCTGCGGAAGGAAAACAAGCACATATTTTCTTAATTTTGCAAAAGAAAGTGGAAAAGCTAAAGGGAAAACGACGTATCTATCATTTCCTCCACAGCAGAAAAGAATCAAACAACGAATTGTCTTTTGACCAAATAAAAAGGAAATTCAATTTGTCTACCAAAATCTTGAAGGAGGATATTGGGGACACCATATAAAACCAGCTTCCTGGCATTCAGACCACATGATATGGTGTCATGATACATTACCAAAACAGAATGCTAGGATTCAGCCAGAGTTTTTATTATTTGTACTTTATGACGACATCTAAACTAAGTGTTCCTTGACCTTGTGATGACAATAAAATTTCTAGATTTTTTCTTTGATTTTAACGTAATCAACTCCACAAATTTCACAAGGATCCACAATATGAGCATACTAGTCTGAAATTTTGATACACTCAAAAAGACAATCCGCCAAGCACATCCATATCATTCGACAAGCATTAAATCTCTGTACTGCCTTTCAAAAACATTAACTATTTTTAGGCTTCTCTAGGGTGTACCATATTTCAAGATCCATGATGCAAGCAAGTTCAGTCAAATGGCCCTGGAATCCCTTACACAAATCAAAATTGCTTTGAGTACTCTTCTGGTATACTCCCTTGTCACATTCCACATAATAGATAATGAAAGTAACAGGTTTTTTTCTTTTTTTCCCCTCCCAATAGATCTTGTGCACTCAACTCCTATTACATGAAAAGGGGAGTCAACACTTTCAATGAAAGTTTTGGGAATAATAAGATCATGTCAGATGACAACTAGATCAAAAGCCAAACCCCAAGTATACAAAATCAACTCCTTTCCCAAGTACAAAAGCAAAATACAATCGAATTCTAAAGCTTACATCTTTTTGTTGTATTAGCTCTCAAACTGACAAAAAAAACTCATTCCCATCAAACCAATCAACTGTTCCATTCACAACCCAATTCAGCCTTTTCTACCTCACCTCCCAAGTCACTCAAAAACACAATATGTACAACTCCAATTCCCTCTTTATTCCTACATTTTCTAAGGAGCACCCAACTAAACCAAAAACGAAAAAAAAAAAACAAAAAAACAAAGGGTAGAGAAGTATATACCGTGGGAATGACAGGCCCGGACTCCATCTGATTTCCTCTGCTCAAAGTGAAAATGAAGAGCAAAACCGCAAACCCACACAGTACCCACCACAAGGCATTGGGAAACCGCCTCCTCAGGGGCCTCCGAAAGTCCACGGCTCTCCTCCTCATTATTCTCTACCAGTTCCAAATCTGAAGGGCCAATACGGAACCCGTTTGTTTCCCGAGAAAGTTGCAGCCTTTTAGACAGTCGTATATCAGAGATCGCCAAGGTGGATTAAATTCGAGTGATTGGATCTTACGGCACAATACTTTTCCAGGGCTGAGACTTGAGATTTGAGATCATAATTGGGATTGAAATTTAGGGTTATGAGGGTTGAATAACTTGAATTGGGTTGGGTTTTGGATTGACGAAGATTTAGCAAACACTGGGAGGGGAAATTTGGCAAAGAGAAAGAAGGAAGAAGAAGCTTGTCTTCTCAGTCTTTTTTTGGGTCTGAATTGTCTTCTCAGTCTTTCTTCACTAGACAGACAACAACAGTTGGGAGTTTGTGTGTGATTGTGTGGAGTCAGAGTGGTGTGGGCTCATCTCTTTTGTCCAAGTTCTGATAATAATTCTCTTTCTTAATTTTTATTATTTTAAATTTATTTGTTCATTGGGCATGCGCATGACTATATGTCTATGAGATTCAGATGAAAATAACAGCAAAGTTTTAGAATAATTAATTCAATTGCTGGGGTCGTTTTCATTTGATCTTGTGGCTTCTCTTAATAATGTGGGGTTTTTTTTTTAATTCGTCACATTCAGATTTCTGACATTCACATATACTAAACAATTCTACCGAGCGTAAGAGCAATTCCACCCATTTGCTCTTAGCCATGGCAAGGGGGAGCTAGGGCAGCCACTATTCACGTGAATAGTAGTTGCCCTTGCAAATAGTATTTTGTGTTTTCACCCGTTGCCATGGCTAAGGGCAATTACTATTCATTTTTTTGTTTTTTTCACAAATTTTTTTACCTTAATAATTAATTTGGACAAAATCTTTTAAAAAGATTTTTGGTGTGGAAAGTGAAAAATATGACTAAGTATTTATTTAAAAAAAATCTGAAATTTTTTTCCATTTTTTATAAAAAAATTTGTTGCTGAAGTCAGCAACCCTCGTTTTGGACCTCGGGCTGAACTGGCTTTCGGGCCAGCCCGACTTGCTGGGACCCACTCCCTGCCCGGGCCTGGGTTTTCCGTTGAAACACCATTTTTTCTTTCCCCCCCCAGCCCGTGTCCCAACTCCTCGCTGGAGCTGCTCTAATGTGGAAGATTTTTCTAGAACGTCAATTATATTTGATGCAAACGCATTTGTAGCCGTTAGATTAACATGTTCATGATAAATTCAGAAAGACAGGCCAGTGGCCTACTACTAACAGCATCGATATTGTCCCCAACTTAACCACTTACAAAGCCCAGTAGGTGTGAGGTTTTATCACAAAAAACCTCTGTGATATTAGTAGTGGGGCCATTTATTGTATTTTATTTAGTCAAGTTTCCGATGTGGGACTTTAAATTCTTCAACATGCCCTCTCACGTGGGACCACCACATAGTGGGCCACACAGAGTCAAGTCCATATCGGAGTCAAACATTCAAGTTCAACACGTGAACATCACGTATTGGGTAAGGGGTATCGGTAAACATTCAAGGCCAATATGTGAACATCACATATTGGGTGAGGGTAATGGCCCAATTCAGGCCCAATCAATTAACCCGCTCTAATACTATGTTAAGATTTCAAAAGGACGGATCCTTGACCCACCACTAGCAACACCGATATTATCTCCAACTTAACTACCTACAAAGCCAGCTGGTATGAAGTTTTATCACAAAAAAATCAGTGATATTAATAGTGGAACCATTCATTATATGTTGTATCTTATTTAGTCAAATTTCAATGTGGGACTTTATTCTTCAACAGTTCACTTTTAAATGACGAAAAGATAAATATGAAAAGAATTGTATTTTTTTTATATAAATTTTTTAATATAAACGATAATTTAAATTACAAGGAATGAAGATTTTTCACACACGCAAAAACATCAAACAAAGAAGTAGGTTGTGGAAATGAATTAAATGATAATTGAAGTTAGAAAATGATCTCTTGGAACATTCAACAGAAGTCTCAAATTCAAACATCCCTCTCCTCCCCTTGTCGATAAAAGAGAAGAAAGAAATCCATCGGATTTGTTAGGATTGACCTTCAATTTAAAAACATAATGTTGATAAAAATGTATAACCATTCGTCCCAAGCGCATAGCCAAGTCACACTGACTTATTCAAATGGAATTTTATTTCTTGTTTTTTTGACATGTTTTTCTTTTACAATACAAGAACCCAGAACAAATGTAATGAAAATAAGTAAACCAATAACTAGTACAGATGAAAATTGATCTTCTGCATAACCTTACATCTCTAAGCCAACAAAAAAAACTAAAACAACATACAACTCACAAGGGCGCCGGAATGACACCCTCTAGAAAGGTTTGTAGTAGCCTTCTACTTCAAAAAGAGTATGCGCTAAAGCAGGTGTGCTAAAGAATGGGAGTTTGACATACTTGCCACCAAGAGCACACCTTATACACTCCAACAAGATGAAGATGTACGCGAATGAGACAGCTGCCCAGTATTCTATGCCGAACGTCCCACTGAAGTGTATCAGCGGAAAAAAATTGCTCGAATGCTCTACCACTTGCAGTATCATTTCTAACAACATCGCCATCATTATATGGTACCTAAAGAAGTGAGGCCACTCTTTCTTCTTCACCACTCCATAATATGTAGGGAGGATATATATCATTGTGAACCAGTCAGGTAACCTCTTTATTGCTCCTGGGACATAATAAACCAAATCTCCAAATACTTCGTAGTGTTCTGTGAAGGGTTTAATGAAAAACCCAGTATCAGACGTCTGCAAAGCTATCAAGTAGGGGAGACATGCTAAAGTTCTCCACCACCAATCTGGCTTCTTTTCCATTTTTGGAAAAGGTATAGTGACGGAATTATTCTTTTTTGCTTGTGCCAATGTTGAAGATTTGCGTTGTCTAAGTAACACTGGTAGTTGGTGTGACTGACTGCCTCGTTCCCCCGTTAACAATGCGGATGATGTAGCAGAAAGGTGCAAGCTTGGCAATCCTGAAAATTATGAGTTCAGGATTATAAGAGCATAAAAACAATCTCAATGATGCTCCTATGCAAGTATGCATTTCATCTTCGTCCGTATAGAAAATGAGACTTTGTACATAACATATTGAATGAGCTCATCATAACACAAACAACAGATTAGTTTCAAATAAGCTTATGGGTTCTAAACCTCTTTTACTCTGAGACCAAGGATTGGCTAGATGCGATTGAAACAAGGAAGATGATTGACAAGATATTGGACATACCTGTGGAAGTCCAGCCATGCAGATTGTGATTAGGTTGTTGTAGATTTCTGCTGCTGGACAATATAGGGATTGTATTCAAGTTAGATTTGCATGCAACCCTGTTGGGCTTGTTGCGACTTTTGAGGCTCACATCCTTATACCTAGTTAAAGACCAATATAATGTATACTGATTAGCACTAATACAGGAGCTGAGAAACAATCATCAAGCTGAAGCCCTCTTTTGTTTCTTCAATAGAATGCTGCTATTGATGAAGACACGAGCTGAGAAACAATCATGCTAATAATTCTTATAATTGTGTTTTAATAACCATCTAAGTGAAACACATGAGATAGAGAATCTATATCACTCAGACCCTTAGAAATAAGCTCCAATGGCGGAAAAAACAAAACCGTCCTATCTCTGTAATAATACTCAAGAGAAACAGAGCGTCACAGAATGTCTCTAACATTACAATGCAGTGAGCCCTTTATCCGTGTCTCCACCACCCTTTCTTTTGGCAATTACAGATTCAAGAAAACTGTTTTCAATTTTATGTAGAACCATGTAGGACATGGCCGTGCTCGTGGTAAGGGTACACACTTACTTGGCCACTCTGGTTGTTCTGAAAACACCCTCACCCTCTCATAAAAAAGCAAGCTATGTTTATTTCAGTACAACTAAAAGGAAATTGAGATAAATAATCATTGCCACCGAACACTTCGAAGATTTATATGCCTTATCTACGAAAGAACTTGATCCACCTACCAACCAACACTATACACTCTTCGATCACGACTCAAACTCATTGCCAGGTTAGAAGCTTAAAGAGTAACTCTACAAAAATCTTTATCCAAAACCAGAGCTACATAAACGATTTCCTAAATTCCCAATTTTTTCCTCTTACATTAGGATTCCGTTCCTAATGTCTGAAAATCCTAAAATCCGTTTCTTGCTAAAGCACTAAAATTTACAAATTTATAATAGTAATGAATACAAAAATAAAAATACAAAAAATACAAAATTGCCCAAGACCCAATTAACTCTTGACTGTTTCAAGGAATTAAGAAATCGAAAAGAAAAAAATGAACGAATCCACGAAAAAAAAAATTCAAAATTAAACTAAGAACAAAAACAGAAGTGGGTTCCTTATCTTTTCATATAAGATGGCGATCTGATTACCAAACAGGCTAATTTGTTTTCATTTTTTTTTTTCATTTCTCTGTATTTATTAGATCAATGGTAGCAATAACTATAAGGATCGAATACGTACCGAGAGGCAGCGGGTGAGGCAAGAACGCTAAGGCGGCACCCCAAGGTGGTTGCCATGGCTTGTTGAGATGTGTTCTGGTTTCGCGCACTGTTAAATACACGGCGCCGTCTGGGTTCCTTTGTACGCAAGTATTATAGGGCCCCACACTCCTATATAAAAATCACCTAGGCTAGCCGGAATTTTAATTTATTTTTAAGTGGGTGAGGGAGTATGGAGTTTATTTATTTTACCCAAAATAAGGTTTTTGTGTTATTTATTTTTAATTCAAGGATTGAAATGCAAATAGTTTAACTCTTATCGTACATATAAAAACAAATAATTACTAACCAAATTGGGTATGTATATGCGCATCCTCTAAACTTTCCGAAGGAGGTGGGATGGGTGAGTTGAACAATTTCCTTTAATCAGATTTTCTTTTCCTTTTTATGACAATTTCCTTTTCCTTTTTGATTTGCCCTAAATTTCTATGTTTACAGAAGCTTTTCCATAGTGGTTTTTTTTATAATTAATAATGAAATATTTATAAAGCTATTTTTACAACGGTCACTCACAAACAAATTATGTTATTCAATGAGTTCGTACAACTAAGTATTGAACTCCCCAAAAATATATGTATCCTATCGCAATATTTATATTGATGTAAGTCGAATTTGAGGCATTTTCCTATTAAGGTGAAGACAACTACTACTAGACTGAAGATTCATAATATCTTTTTCTTAATTGACATAGGGCTCGTTTGGGGAAAAACACATTCTCCATATAATCATTTTAAGTGATTTTAAGTAATTTTGAAAAGAAGCACTTCCCATGTTCTTCTTCATAAACGAGCCCATATTGTATTATCTTAAATATGATCCAATGCAAGCACTCAGCAACTAATGTTTCTAATAATTAAGAGTAAACATGTTTCTAATAATTAAGCATTTTACTCGTATACAATGAAGATAAACAA